TTTTTTTGTTTCGTTTTCTCTTGGTTATATATACATATATAACTCGAAATTTACATGAATAATTTGTTTATTTACTTATTATTGATCTCCTTCCTATCATCACTCTGTTTTTTTTTTTGCTGCTTTGTTTATTGAGAAGCAATGCTGCGAGCATTTTGTAGTGTGCCCATGGTGACGTTGGGGGAGTTTGACGCCCCTAGAGGGAGCAAAGGCAATCAGCGTATCAGAATACTACGCTTATCAGGAAGTGGATATATTTGGACCTCAGTTGTTATACCTTTCTGCTGTGTGTGGAAAGACGCTTCTTAGTTCTCAAGTGATTAGTGGTCCATTGCGTCCAGAATATAAAGAAAGAATGAAGGCCATTGTTGCACGTGTCCTTGCTTCAAATGAGTCTGACGAGGAATCAGTGTTGATGTTGGATCCATTAGCTGGAGGAATTGCTAGTATGTCTTTTTGCTTGGAAGATATTTTGGCCCGCGGGGAAAAGCGTCGCTTTTGTATTATAGTGACACATCCTCAAAGTGACGAACTTGTGCGTCAGTGGCCATTGGTTTCTGTATTTCTAACTATGCTATTGGGGGAGTGGTCGGCTGCAACAAAAAGACGCCTAACTCTGGAGTATTCCACCTTTCCAGATTTAGAAAGGAGCCGTGAGGAGGCGCGTAAGCGCCCAATGCGTTCATTGATGCGTTTAATATCCCAGAACACAGAGTCAGAAGAAACAGCCTTTAAACGTGTTCATAGTTTTTTTGAGCGTGTCGTTCCTGTCTTGTTTGGTGTAGAACCACTAAGGCTCACTGGCTCAACATTGGACCCAACGTCTATGACGCAAATGAAACAACGCCTTGAGCTTGAAATTCCCCTAGTAAATATCGTTGAACTTGATTTGGATTCTCCCCCTGAAAAACAAGGCTGTCTTGGTATAGGTAATGGCAGAATTCTGGCCCTAGGTGAAACTTTAACGGTAAAACCTCTCTCTGTTTGGATTTTGGAATTTGTGCAAAAGAAAGAGAATGGTTTGCGGGAGATAGAAACGCTTTTAGCCGCACTTTTAAGTGGAATCCAAATTCTTATCTACGGAGATGACAGTTTTCTGTGCGCTAATTTGGCACTCTCGCTATCTCAAATCCTGCCGCGACCACTGCGACGCGTCACAGTTTTTGCAGAGGAATATTTGATGCCATACGAAAATAGAATCATCAGCTTTAGCGAAAGTTTTTGTCAGAGTTCCCATCTTGACCATGGATGCAAATTTGACAATGAAATTTCAGTTATGGATACTGTTTGCGTAAGTGTCAGTTCTGAAGGTCACATAGCCTCTGTGCACGAATATGATGAACGGGTATACGCCTTTGCAGGTGCAAGGCGTTATTCGCCTCATAAGTTGGCACCAACGCCCAATATTGTAGCACAGATTGTGGAATTATTTCGCTCAGAGCTTGCCTCGCAGCTCCTATCGTGGAACTGTAGAATGCTTCAACTTCGAATTGAATCTATGGTGAATGAGTATGTCATACGAGGCCGGGTGTATACTCGATTGTTTCGACATCATGAAATAAGGTGTAACAAAGGGGTGCTTGGCTTAGGCGAGGTGAGTGGCAATGGTAACTCTTCATTTACTGGTATTGGGCGTACATTTCGTCAGTTTATAGGATGTTCATCGTTGCGACGTTGGTATTCGACATCGTCGGTCTTTTCTTCCCCAGAGCAGAAACACGTTTTAAGAGGTGACGCTTCTTCCTTCTTGTATTCTCTAGAAAAGGGTGATTTGAATGCGTGGGTAACGACAATTTCGGATCATAATGTACTTCTTTTTCTTGGAAGCAGTAGCGATATCATGTAGTAGTTGTCTGCATTTTGTGATCACTAAAAATTTTATGGTTGTCACCCGTCCTGGGTGGTTTTCAAGGGCCCAATGAACTTTTTTATTTTTATTGTTGGAACTGAGATCACTTCTGCTACATATATATATATATATTATTATTATTATTATTGTTATTATTATTATTATTATTGTTTATTGTGAGTTGTCTGTCTTTTCTCCCTTCACGACTCACTAGAAAGGGAATGAAGTAGAGGTAATACATGTCTTATTGTTTTTTTTTTTTTTTTTCATTCTCTTGTTTGTTCTGTGCGTGTGTAATTTTTTTCCCCCTGAAAAGACTTTGCCACTCTTTTTTCATGGCCTCGTCGTCCGCGCATCCGGTGTTGCGGTACGCCTGCCGTTTTTTTTGGTTGTTGTTGTTCTCTGCTGCGTCGTGTCCCTCGAAGAATTTTCAACTTATGGACGTCTGGGAGGAAGAAATGTGCGAAGGTGAGCCTTCGAAAGATGTGTGGGTGCCTTAGTTGAGGTCTTTTCCTTCTTCAGTTGCTGCTTGATTTTTGTTTCCAGCCATGCCGCGTCGAAAGGCGGCGCGAGCGCGGTTGCTTTCCTGTCGTCTCATCCGAGCTTCCTCCCACACATCCAATTTCCACGCAAAGCGAGAGGATCCGGCGGCAGCGGGGGCCTAAAGGCTGCCGTTCTGCGAGTGTACGACAAGAGCCCAGTTATCGTAGTGTGAGTTTTTGGGCTAATTTGTTTGTTTCACGGATGATAAATAAACCTCTTCTGCAGTGGGGTGGTTGCTGGCTGCAGCAGGAGAAGCAACAACAACAAAAAAAAAACGGTTTCGCTCTTCTTGTTCTTTCTTCTCCGTGCACGAGGGAGGAAGAAGAGAGCCTCACTCGGGCGAACATTCTTTACTTGCAACATATTCAATTCTTTTTGTTACCTTCAATTGAAGCTTGAAAAAGACCCACTTTGCAGCGGCAACGTTTTTGTTTTGTTTCTGTGCATCATGGGCCTTCGCCAGCCCCTGCAGTGGATGACACCGCGGTTGGTGCGCTTTCGTCTGCAGGTGATGCGGCACGACTGAACCTAACAGTAGCAGTCGCAGTGGCGGTGGTGTTTGTTCGCGCTTGCGCTTGACACTTCCTTTTTTTTTTTTTCTTTTGTGCCGGCTAATCACAGCGACTAATTTGCCTCTCTGTGTTCACTCCTCCGCAGGAAAGCGATATGTCATGTCGCACCCCGTGGAGAAGCAGGTGGTGACCGTTGCTGTGGACGGGGAACGTGTAAGCCAAGAAGTCTACGTGGATGCTTCCACTGGATTGGACGTTGACGCTCAAACTGGCGTGTTCCGCACTCGGGCAGAGACGGAGGAACTAATACGAGAGGTCTACCGCGTAGCCCGGGACGCCCTCCCACGAGAGCTGGAGCGGTACAACACGTGGATGCGAGGAGGCGCTCGTGCCGACCTCTCCCACTCATCCCCGCAGCACACTCCTCCCGCTGTGGTGGGAGCGGGTACTTCAGCTGGTGTCCTGACGAAACCAGGCAAAGCCGAGGAATACAGGGCACGGGGTAACGACGCAATGAGGCAGGGTGAATTACGGAAGGCCCTTCGTTGCTATAGTGAGGCCCTACAATGTGAACCTGCGTCAAGCACCCTGTGGTCGAATAGGGCGGCTGCGATGATTCGGCTTGGTAGGGGTGACGCTGCCTTGTCAGATGCAGAAAAAGCGATTTCTCTTGACCCGACGAACGTCAAGGCATACTATCGAAAAGCTTCCGCCTTATCATTGCTTGGCGCACGAGCCGCGGCTGCTTGCTGCGTTAAGGACAGTGTGAAACAATTTGGCACGGACGTGGCATGGGAATCCCTTGATCGCCGTATTGCATCGATGGCCACGGCCGTTTTGGTGGATCACCGCTGGGTCTGTAGCGAAGCTGTGGAAGAGGGTGAAGAGCTTTGTACGTTGCAGGGGATAAAGTTGCCTAGCGTGGATCCGTCCGAGGTCTTGCGTCTGTGGGCGAAGGACGGTGTTCCTTCCGCTGCCTTGACAGAGGAAGCGGTCTATTATGCTGCCCGTGGTTCTCAGCCTTCGCTTGAACCATACGAGGGTGTACTGACGGCACAAAGGCTTTCTGATATGTGTACGGACGCAGACCCTGAGCTTGCCGCGGTGTCGCGATTGGCTGACCTTCTTCGCTGGAGCTGCCTCTTATTAGGCTCCGCGGATGCACGGGCACCGATAGATGCCAGGCCGTGGTTGGAACACATTTTCGGTGACGGATTTGTATTCCTGGGGGCGTCCTTGTTCGCCTCACCTACGCCCGAGGCCAACGTCTCTCTTTGCTTTGATGCGACGTCCCATGTGCTTCGCGTCTTCGCACGCAGACGCATTGGGCAATATGAAACCCTTACTTCCCTGAGCGCGCCGTGCCCTTGAGGCGGAGTTGCAGTCCATGCTCCGTCTCATTTCTTCCTCCTCCTCCTCTTCGTTCCAGCTCCGCCCAGTTTACTGCGAGCTTCAACGGCACACATGTTATTTATTGATTTCCTTCTGTCCTTCCTTGCCCGCCGCACACATGCGCTCCTCCTTGTTTAGTTATTTATCACCACTTTCTCTTTGTTCCTCATTTTTGTACCCTTTGTTGCTCTTCTTGATTGATGGCTGCACCTCGTCGCGTTAACTTGCTAGTGGCTCGGACCAAGGAAGAAAATGACGATGATGAGCGTGTTGGCCAACGCGCTTCGCAGCATTGCGAGCGCGGAGCGCCGCGGCAAGCGTCAGGTTCTCATTCGCCCATCGTCCAAGGTCGT